TCTGATTCAGGTTCTCAACATGCAATGTGAATTGTGAGACAGTGACAAGTGGGTGATTTACTCGGACATTGTTTGACTTGCCGTCTAAAGTTATATTGTCCTGTAAAGCTATGTGTCCTGTAATGACCTTACCTTCCCAAGTCTTATATTCGCTGAAGTTATATCGGTATTTCTAACTCATAGTGATTTTCGATGACTGCTGCCAAAAATCTAAGCCCCCGATATCAGCTCTGAACCTCTTACCCCCTTTGACATTCTTCACAGTATGAACTTAAGCTGCATAATAAACGGATGGCCATTCAATCTCTTTTCCTAAGGTTAAGTTGGTTTATTATTCAGGCTTCTGCCCTTGTGTATTAGGCAAAACATAAATTATGCATACTAATTACCTTGGATGGGCTACCAGTTTAATGAATTCTTTTAATTAAACTGCAACACTGTGTTTTGCAAAGGCCGGCCAATATTTCATCGTTACTGCCCTAACCTCCCCTCCTTGCCCGTGCAACTCTGTACAGCATGCTGCCTGGTCCAGATCTAATCCATCTAAAATCTTGTGTTGGATTTGTTGCAATCCGTTTTGGCAGAAGGAGTTAATAAAGTAATCTTCACAGTAAACAGAGCTGATGGCTCTTCCATCTGGATTATGGCACACGATGATGGTTGCAGGTTAAAGATTTGATGTATAGATCTGAATTTCATTGCCCCTGAATAGTATTAAAATTTCCGGATGAGTAGTCCAACAATAAATAGATTGGACAGTCAGTGTGTATATCTTATTATTTTGCATAATAATGAGATATGGGTTTATAATGCACTGAGCCCTCCTTGCTAAACCATTAGGGTTGGTAAAATGTATTTGTTAAAAACTGCAAACAAAACTTGTCAAAGGACGTTATCTATTGATGCATGCATGCTGCTATTTACATCTTATTTTTTTTTGCACATGATTTGACAGTAAAACGAGAAATGTGTTTGAACCAGTGTGAATCGGCGAGGTGTCTTTTCCCGGTGTGCTGTTGGAATGTTTTCCTCCAAGATGTACAAATCTACAGTCTCGTGTTTTGTGGCACAAAATGTCAGTTGCACTCTGTCATTTAAAGTTGCATAACTTTTTGGATTGCAGTGACTAATCTGTTGACCAACCGATTTCTAAATCAGCGCAGAGATTGCTCTTTAAGCTTGCTTCGAGTCCATGAAACTGGTAGGAAATTAACAAGTAGATCTCTTTTTTAAAAAAAAAGAGACTTGGCGTGGTCCACAAATTGTCCTTTACTTACAAAGAATGTGCTGCGGATTATATATAAATCTTCGCACACTTACTGTATGACAACCCGCAGTTGGTTATCAGAATGATTGCAGATAACACCGTTAATAAATATGTAGCACGGTTAGCATATTAGCAAACAGATATCAATCGTAAGGCTAAAGACGTTTTCTTCTTCAAGAAGTTTTGTGTTTTGCTTATGTGTGGAAAAAAATAGTTGCATTCAACGACCAATGTCTTGATTTATACACAGCCTCCATTGAAATGTTTGAACAAAACCTTCTATAATGTTGTGGTTATAAGTGCAAAAATAGTTAATGTAAATAAAGGAAATGTGTATATAAATTGTTAATTAACCCGTCACGATTATATGACACATGTGTTGTCACATACCTTAGAATTGGCACAGCTACCGTACATTTAACAAATCATATAGAATCAATATTTGTTTCACGCGGTAGTCTATCGAACAGCGCCAGAGCTTGTTTCACGCCGAACCAAGTCTTGTTAAAGCTTTACCCCCTTGTAAGTGTCACCAGAAATCAATGTCAGAAGGACGAAATGCCTTTACTGTGTGTTTTGATCACTGTGTTATGGCAATAAAGGCAGGGATTTACTAACGTTACATTCCCCCTCCCTGTGTGAAAATTCATTCTGTTGTGTAATTTCTCTCGGAGGACCCCTTTCCTTTATAACTTGAAAGAATGAGTCAAATGCAATATTCTTGATAATGGCTTTACGTTGATAGGTAGAATGCTTGTAAATAGTCTTAACTCTCTGCTGTGTCATAACATGGTCACGTTATTAAGTACGTTTTTGTAAATCAGTGGATAACTTTCGCAACATCCAGAATTCGAAAATTCTGCGTACTTTTTAAATCCCACGATTTGGGAAGATTGAGAACAATTTCACCCAATACTGTAGGATTTCTGATCCGCGATGTGGGGGGGGGGGGGGGGGGGGAGGGGGACGTCTGCGGTCACTATTGCAACACTGTACTGCAACCAAAGGAAAGAAAGGGTTAAGATGAATTTAAATTCCAAAAGAGTTCTGGAGCCGGTCTCCTAGTACCGCGGTCAGAAATGTGTTTGTGAAAATCCAGGGTTTTGTTCCATAAAAAGGCTAAATCTACATCGGTGGCCCAGTATACGTTTGCTATTCTTTGGATTTTCTATTCAAGTGAATGAGGTTGAATGAAGTACCCGGGAACCTTTATTTGATCTACTCAATTGCATAAACTGACAGAATTCTAATATATTTGTTTAATAGACTTTCAATAGGCTTGGCTCTTCTGGGTTGCATATCTCGCTCGCACCCGTCGAAATTCACCCCGGTCGCAACACATAAACATAACTCATAAGCAGAGAAATAGTCTGATCTGGTCTGGGAAGCGTTTTGAGCTCTGGAAAGTGCGAAATGAGGAAACAGATGTTAAGCAATTGTGAATTCCAACAGTGAAGTCTGGGCTATTGTCAACTCACTGCAGGCGGTCCAAAAGCCTCTCTTTTTGAAGCTGTAATTGAAACATATTAATTAGATAATTTGTTGTTAGTTTTAAAAGAAACAAACAAGAGCCGGCCCACGCTTCCTAAAACCATCATTTTCCTACGCTTTAAAAACTTTGCGGTGGAGAATGAAGGGGACTTATGTAGGGGCTGCGTGGAAGGTTTGGGAACATGCGGTGTTTCTGCAGCGCACAGAAATAGTTCAGATGTCTCCATAGATTTTTTTTTCTCTCCAGCGAACGGATATAATGATGAGCTTTTAAGTAGGTAGTATTCTTTTGCAAAGCTTGTTGATATAATTGTGGTGAATGCTTGATGAATGGTTTCAGTTGTCCCCTGTGTGACAAGCCGGCGGCTTCATGCATTTTAATCAGCGGCTGCTGGGAAGAGCCCAGTGCGTTTTTCTTCCCTCTCTTTTCCCTGCTTCTTGTTGTGTGTGTGGGATCCGCACATTAAAAAAAAGCTCTCCTTCTCTCTCTCTCTCTCTCACACACACACACACACATGTCTTGTCTGAAAGTTCATTATCTCCCATCAAAAACAATCGGATCCTCCTTTTTCAATTTGCACAGACTGTTCTGCTGCTCCAAACTCAGTTGCCCTTTTAAGCGCAAATTTAATACCCGCGTGAGGAGAGGAGGGGGAGAAACACGATGCGGTTTATTGGACCGTTTGGAACCAGCTAAAAGCGCCCGAGAGCTTATGTGATCATTTGTGAGTTTTTAAACCAGACATCGGCTGCTGCATTATTCATTTGTTAAACAACGAGAACTGCGGCGACCTTAAATAATTATTTTTTTGATCAATGGTACAGTGTTTCTATTTATTTTTTAAAAGAAAAATAAAAGAACAGTAAAGATGACGTTTGGTGTTAGGTGGAGGTCGCCATTATTTTAGGCGACCGATAGGAAAGCACAAGTTATTTAATTTATGTCAATCCAGTAATCAGCCCCGCGATGTTTACTTAAAGACTTTGATTCCTGCAGATTTTAAAAAAAGATTTTTTTTAACAGGAACAAACTCTTTCTCACAAAGAAATCAGTTAAGAAACTGTATATATATATACACACACACACCAGACTTAGGAGGTGTTTGTGAATGTATGTCGATGACTTATTAAAATTAGAGCGATCAGCGAAACAGCTTAAAAGTTTCTAGGGTGTAAATGAAACGAGTCACCCACATATATCCGCTTACAGTCACTGCAGTAGAAGACGGGCTGTTTAATGTAAGCATGAATTAGTCACTTTCAAAAGTAACAGTAAAATAAGTCGAAAGCCACGCGTGTTCGACTTTCTTGGTGCACATGTAGCATTATTAACGACGTTTGTAATATTTATACACACACAGAGTATATATATCTAATATATACACACTCTAATGCATTTTAAACATTTTCCTATGTTTAGTATTGTGCAGGTTTATCAATTATATAATCCCTTCATAACTTGCTAGGAAGTTGAGCAGAACTCTCAATGTGCTGCTAACCCAGATATTGCTGTCAGACTATCTATGTCAGAGGCGTCATTTTGTTTAGACAACAATAACTTTGTTCACAGCAACACACACACACAGGCTTCTCTGGTAGTGTACGCATTTTTTTAATGAGAAAATATTTTTGGATCACCCACTTCATAATTTAAAGCAGACAGTTTCTCGGATAGACAGACACACATGCTGGCAACTAACAAAGCTTGCATCCATCTAGCGGGATCTCATGCTTCTGTACATCAACACAAGGGGCGAAAGTCGTTTTGTTTCCCTTTTACAGTCTTGACAAACGCTTTTGAGTTTTTCACAACACCCAGTTAAAAATTACACGACAAAAATGATCAGCATTTCATAGCTTTTTTCTTCTTCTGCGAGTCACAGGGAACTATAGAGCGGAAGCTAATGGAAAGTGCATTTATTCACACGCTGATTTTTTTTTCTTGTTTATATTATTCACATCAAACCGATTTACATTTACATTGTTTTGAAACAGATCGGAAAAGGGTCAGATCAGGTTTTACCCCCTCTCTCCCCCCCCCCCCACCACCACCACCCCACCCCCCCACCACCCCCAACCCCACCCTCCCCCTCCTCCCAAGTAACCCCCACTCTAACCTTCCAGGAAACTTTGGGAGTCAATTCCTCTCTGCCCTTCCCTCCCCTCCCCTCACCCGCCCTCCCCACCCCACCCCCTCCCCGCAAAAAAAAACACACACCTTTCTGTGTGTACGTTTGTCCATAATAAATGTCAGTGAACGGCCACCGACTGCAACGCAGCGCCAGGGTTTGTTAAAGTCTCACTCGGGATGGGGCTGGTGGCTGTCTGCGGAGAGGTTGGACTCAGAGCCGAGGGGTTGTTGGAGAGGAGAGCCGATATGGGCGCAGTTAAAGACGACAACGCGGGCACGCTGGCCAGGGTGGGTTTGATGGGCACCGGGATGGCCGGTAGAGTCTGCCCCCCGTGGCACAGGGGCTTGAGAGGGACGCCGTAAGCACTGTAATCGCCTCCGGCCACGGAGATGGGGGGGCCCGTGTCCATACTGTACATGTGAGGCCAGGCTGTACCAATAGAGCTGCCAACTGTGTTCAATTGGTTGTGCATGGGGTAGCCGCCGGGCATAGGCTGCACGGTAGAAAAAGCCAGTCCGCTGGTCATGACATTTTTGTACTCTCTGGCGATAATGTTCTCGATGGCGAAGGGGTGTTTGAAGCTGGAGCTCTGAGAGACACCCATGTTATAGGTGGGCAACTGAGGCAAGTGGGTTCCCGAGGCGGCCAAGGCGCTCAGCCTGAGCTTCGCCTGCTGTTGGAGGTACTGAGCGGCTTCTGACGGCTTACTGACGGCCAAGTGGTCGGCTTTGAGCACTTTGAATCGCTTGCGACGTCTCAGGAAGCTGCCGTTCTCGAACATGTCCCCGCAGTTGGGATGGAGAGCCCAGAAGCTGCCTTTGCCCGGCTGGTCCGGTCTGCGAGGGATCTTGATAAAACAGTCGTTGAACGAAAGGTTGTGTCTGAGAGAGTTTTGCCACCTCTGCGTGTTCTCCCTGTAGTAAGGGAAGCGATCCATGATGAACTTATAGATCTCGCTCAGAGGAAGCATCTTCTCTGGGGAGCTCTGGATGGCCATGGCAGTCAGAGAGATGTAGGAATAAGGTGGTTTTTGGTCGCTGTAAGTGTTTCTGCCTGGGCGAGGCATTGTCACAATTCAGTCTCAGCAGCAACAACAACAACAAGAACAGCAGCAGCAGCAGCACACAAAAAAATGACAACAAAAAAATCTTTCTGTTCAACCAATGTTTCAACAAACTGCAAAAAAAAAGGAGTAAATCAAAAACCTTTTCCCCCACCTCAAAGTTTGAAGAAGTTCCCAAGCAGCATTCGTTCTGCGTTTGAGAATCTGCTTTCTGTCCTGAAATCTCCAGCCGGGACCTGGTCTCCTACGAGCTTGTACTTAAGTCCACACACAAACCAGCGACGCTGTTTAAAACGAGCTGTGATCTTCACTGCAGGCAAACGAGAAATAAACCGCTTTCTCACTCAGCAGCGAACGGCGAGAGGAAATCTTCCACCTTCTTTACTCAGATTTAGCTACTGGCAGCCTCCATGTCCTCCTTGCAGCATCTGGTAGTTTTTATGTAGTGACATGTGCAAAAGGAGCCCTGTAGGGCGCTTCATTAATGTGGCACTCTGACTATCACATGACAATCGCATTTGGGGAAGGCATAATCTGGTTTCATTTACACCTATTTACATGGACACCTTTGGCCAATAGGAATCATTTACATTTCAACACAGTTAGGGGTCAAATCCGAATTGTGAAAAGACGCAGAAACCGGAATTGAAGTGTAATGGCACCCAGTAACCGCGTGTGAAGGTATGCGCTAACCTTTCTATGTGCTTTGCAGGGCGCTTATTACTGCCATCCCCACTTTACAAACGGAGCTATCGAGAGCAGTGAGCAGAAAGTTGATGTTTTGAAATGGAAATGTGGTTGAGGAGAGCTGACTGTTTATTATGTCTGGTGATGAGCTATATAATTACCTGTTGTATTAGCCTATTGATTCCGCTCATACCTAAAGAAAATATTTGATGATCAGCGTTATCTAGCGAAGGCGCTGTAAAATAAAATAAAAGCGTTTGAAGTACAACGCAAGGCAAGTCGAGCACTGTCCTATACGTGTGTGTGTGTGTGTGTGTGTGAAAACCACCCAGTTTGCAATTTGTGACATTTTATTTCGAGCATTCTATTTTGAAATGTGCCAGAAATATTTGAAGGCAACTCAGATTCCTGTATACCTCTCGCTCATTTTCGTGTGTGTGTTTATATGTATATAATATATATGATGTATATGTTATGTATCATGTATATCCTACATATATATGCAAATGAGCGAATGGTTTATAGGAATATATATATATACATTATGTATGTACATACTGTATATATTATATTATTGAGTTGGATACCGGTAACAGCAAAACAATGTGTGAAAAGTCAGTGCTGATCAGTAACTCACCAAATCGTAACTTAAACACGCTTATTTCCAGAGATTAAATAATTTCATTAATATTAAAATGACACCAGAGTCGGATCTCGCTTGGTTTAAATGCGGGCGCACGATTTTCAGTATTAACTGGGAGTACTTGAAGCAACCAATGTCGAGTTCACACCTCAGAAAAAAANTCGGAGTGAAAATAGGTTCGCACAAACTTTTTAAAACGCTTTGGGTAGAAAATTAGTCTTTAATATGCATGCAGACACAAAACTAACGGGGGGATGATCCAATGCTAGAATTGAATGCAAATAAAGATAAAGGGTAAGGTTGGGAAACCTCATAAAAACGCGCAAAAGTCAATTATATTAATATGCAAAAAACAAATGGAAATCTACTTGCTATAATAACCGTTTAGGCTTTAGCCAAACCGAGTGCCACGTTTCTGCATGGAAGGTTTGCTATAGCCCTCTTCCCACAAGCAGGACCACACACGTTTCAGGTTAGTAATAATTTATGGTAATTTCTTCCATAAATCCACAGTCTGCTGTATTCGCATTCAGGCACTCCCAAGCCAACCAGACAAATGACAAACACAATATTGGTTTTGATCTCTTCTGTTTACACGCCTTAAACACGCAGGTGTATTTTTCGGAGCTTTGGATGGAAAAACACACAGAGGGGGGAGAGAGATAAAAAAAAATCATAGAAAACTAGTAAAGCTCTTAATATTTACAAAACAGAGTGGGGGGAGAAAGTACCATTCAGCTTCTTACGGTTTCCTAGGCTGCAAAACAAAGCCTGGTCTGAAAACATACTTTCCCATGTAGAAAGTCAACTCCACGCTGAGTTTGCGCATGCAATAGACAAAGCATCGATCTCAGAGATATTTTTTTTGGAGGGGGGTGTGTGGAGGAGATGAAGTACTTTTTCTTGCTTTTTTTNATATATAAACTTTTTTTAAAAAAACGACGTGTATTGACAATCGGCGACATTCGATTTCAATCCGTCAGCCTTTCAGCTAAAGTTTACCAAAGTGATATACAAGGCGTATGGGAACCACAACTGCATGCAACAGGGGGCATTGTCCAGAACTCTTGCGTTTTCACAAAATCTGCCACTTCGGTGGTGTGAAAGTACTTATCCTTTCTTTGAAAAGCGATTGTCCATTGTGTACAAAAGCATCTTAAAACAAACTACATAATCTTTTTCGTATTTCTGTTGCCTGCCACCGGTCGGGTCGGCAGTTGAAACGCGCTTGTAAAGTAACTTTGCAATTTCGGAAAATAATGGCACAACAACCTTGAAGTGTATGTAGTTAGAGACAAATGTCAAAATAAATACTTCTGATGAAAAAAATGTTGCGCGGTTAATCTTTTTTAACGTGTGGATTTTTTTTTCCTTTTCGAACGTAATCTTGAAACCCAATAACCATTATAACCTGATTTTTTTTGCCAATAACAGCAAGGTACGTGTTAAAGGTAGCAATAGATCAACCGTATAATGCGTATACTGGTTGGTCATTTGTACAAAGCAGAACAAAAGTTCTCCCAGCTAAATTGCATTGCACTTCTGAACCGAGATGCAATTTCAAGTATCTTTTACAGAGGGGACTGTGAACAATTTTGTGTGTGTCTGAAACTGAATAACAAAGCAACTTTCTGAAGCATCTTAAAGTGAAGTACTCAGGCGTGACATTCCCAGGGTGAGAGAGGACAAAGGCGAGGGTCAGCGAGATGAAAAACGAATCAAACAGCCACTTTCACACGTCGCCCCTCAAACGCTGCATCACTAAACAATAGGAAACAAATGTTGTTTAAAAAAAGGTGGGGGGGGGGGGGGGGGGGGGGGAATGGGATGGAAGGACTGTTCATATTCAATCCCAAATAGCGTTTGATAAGGCGAACGTTCTCAAAACGTGAGCCGGGGTCACATATCGTACTGTTTGTGTTGTATCAAATCTAAGCCACACAATATATTTAAGTTGTTCATTTTTGTTCAGTGTCGCAAACCCTTTATTGCTCCCATTTTTTTTTCTGCATTTCATTTATTTTCCTGTTTCGGTCACGCTGTGCCGACGCTGGCTTTGCCTTATACTCGCATCGCCTTAATATTTTGCGCTGATATCGAGCACTCACAGTCAGCGGTGTCGCGAAGCACTGCTCGGAGCGGAGCTGCTGCCGTGCGTTTTCTTTCTGCGCGTTGTTGAGCACTTGGGTGTTTGCATTTTCTCCTGATTGCAGAGGCTATTGCTGCTTGCATTGCAGCCACACACTTTGCTGCCACCCACAAAGTTGGTAAGCAGAGGGCGGGTTGACCAGAAGCAAACAACAATGAGCCGGGGCTGAATTTACAAAAGCAGCCTTTAAAAAGCAAATCAAACTCAGTTTATTCCTTTTGTTTCAACGCGCTGCCGCTACCAAACCAAATAAGTTGCAACGGCGGGTTGTTTCGCCAATGCCGTCGATTTTAAAACTTCGCCGTCTCTTTCTTGCAGATACAGTTAACGCTTTTCGCATTTTAACCCCCATCACCCCAAAAAAAAAATTTTTTTTTTAAAAAGAGGGCTAAAGGCGACATTCTGGGGATGATTGTGCGACACATAACAGTGACAATCATACAGTCTATTCCGAGTTTATAAAAATACGTTTGTTCTTCCTTGTTGAATGAAATCCACGTCCTGCGCGAGTCTCTCACACACAGCAAAAAAAAGATGATACATCCTGTTCAACAAATTAGTCACCAATTACCAGTGAGATAAAACATTCCCTCTCAAGGTGAAACTTTTGAATGCTGGCACCCTCTCTTTGCAGGAGGGACAAAACTTGTGGGAAATAACTGTGCACTTAGCAAGTTGATAAACAAAACTTTTTTTTGCGGGATGTCCCCCTACCCCACCCCCCCACTCACAATCGTCTAAAATTAAATGAATGAAGCCCTCCATCAAATATGAGTAATGGGAGGATAAGTCGCTGGAGTAAATAAATCAACGAGAGAAAAGAAGACGTTCTTCTTATTGGTGTCCGTACGCCGTCTGCAACCACCTGTACTGAAGTTGAGTTGAGGCTTTTTGTGGGGAAATGTTTTTTCATGTTTTTTTTTGACAGAGGCAGCCGTCTGCCTGCCTGCCTGCCTGCCACCCTGTAATCAGCATGTAAACCCAGCTGAGCCCAGGCTGTTAAACGGTTGCGTATTTCACCAGATATTATTGATGTATCTTCGGGCAATGTAGATTTTCAAAGCTAATGAATAAACAGCTAACCAACTGCTCGCGGTGCGAATCGCACAGTCAATGCAAACATTTGGATAAATACACCGAATTTGCACATTGAGTAATAATGTGGGGTAACTGTAAACGCTGAGACAAATCGTGGAGAGCCAGGTAGGCAACTAAGCATAGGCATTGTGGGGAGAGAGAAGGGGGAGGAGGAGGGAGAAACCTTAAGTTTTTGTCACTAAATGCTCCCTCCTCCTGAGTACAGTAATAATACAGAAAGACACCAGCGGTTTCGGAACTCAAAATTCCGCTTTGCCAGCAATGTCCAAACGTGAAACAAACTGCGCCCGCCTTTTTGCTGAGCATACATGGGTACCAGTTACAAATCGTCTCCTGTCTGCCAGGTGCCACTTTCTTAATGTTTGACGTGCAAATGTCTCACCTTCAATGTGATATATCTGGAATACATTATTTTAATTAAGTCTATGGCGATTTACTTTCCTTTGA